TGGAGTGCTCATGGTGTTGATGATGAAGATGAGGCATGTCAGGTCTCAGAGAATGAGCTGCTGTACTAGGAAATGGCTGGACTCCCCTGAATCTCCAGGACAGGCAAACAGATGTGAGGAGCCGTGGTGGAAGAGAAGGAGCGAGTCTGGTTTATTGTTACAGGGTGGCCATAGTGTTTGGGTACCCAACTCCAACCCTCTCCGAATGGCACCAGGGCTCACTGGCTTCCTGTGTCTGTCCAACACAACACATAATATACTTGCTTAGGAGCTCAGATAGGGAACCGGGAACCCACAATGCCTAGCTCACTCCCTCACACATGCATGGAGAAATATTATGTTCCCAATCCCTGTGATATCCCAAGGCCCAACAGGAATATCGATGATTTCACAAAGACCCACCCCAGGCATTGGGCCCCAGATATAATGAGGGGATGGGGAATCCCGTGACAGCCCCTGACAAACAAGACAACACTTCAAAACCATTCCGGAAAAATTCTTTTATTGGTTTTGGAAAAGAGGCTAAACGGGTATCCCTAGCAGAGACAATGGCGTGGTTCAGCTCCAGCAGGACACCTGCCTTTTGCTCTCTTGCTTCCCCTTGGGGAAGAGGAAGCTTCGAGGCCTTGCAAGATAAAGAGAGAGGAAAAAAAACAACTAAGGGGGCGAGCTCAAACACTGCCATCAACCGGCTTCAACCCAGGAGTATCCACCAACCAATTTTCTGGCAACTTCATCCCTAAGTTCTGCCTGCCAGCATCCACCAGGAATATCCACCCGTTCATCTCTTCCACTCCGTTTCTGAAGCCAGCCTCCGCCAGCTCCCAAATGCTTGGGTCACACTCACGCCCCGGCGACATCCCCATGGAACACCAGCCAACACACACACACACACACAACTACCTTCACTTTACCAGCCATTCACATACACGCTCGGCTTCCATCCCCTGGTCTATCTCCGACATCAGCCAGCTTTGAGCCATGGATCTCCACTAGCCTCGAGCTGTTAACTTGCCAGCGCAATTAGCAAGTTCATCTCCTTTCGCCAGAGCACTGGCCTTGGGCAGCAGGGCTGGGTCCCCTGCAGCCACTGCCACTCCCTATGCCCTCTGGTCACTAGCCTCCCTTCTGGTCTCCTGCCCTGCCCAAGCCACCCCCTTTTATCTGCCAGCAGAGAGGTGGGGTCCCTGTGAGGTCACAAAGACCCAGGAGAAGAGGGGTTGCGTTCCCAAGGCAACAGCAGCAGCACCCTCAGGATTGGCTGAGTCCTGAAGATGATGTCAACAGTCCCTCTGATCATGTGATTCACCCACAAAAGTTTGCATTTAGCATGATTCTTTAAAAAAAAAATTTAATTAGTGCCCTATAAATGTATCTCCTGTCACCAATCCTTCTGATTGTTAAATCTCCTGGCCTTCTGACAGGATTCTAGGCTGGTGCTCCAAAAAGTCCATCGCTGGTTACAAGCCCTGATGGGGATGTATAATCTCCAGGCTTAAAAGGAAGGTACCTCCAAATACCAACTGCAGGGGATGGTATCAGGTGACAGGTATCTAGTTGTCTTATGTGCTCCCAGAGGCATCTGGTGGGGCCACTGTGAGATACAAGGCGCTGGACTAGATGGGCCCTTGGCCTGATCCAGCAGGGCTCTTCTTTTACGTTCTTATGTTCTTAAGGAGCTGCAGTTCCCACAGCTTCCCATTATAATAGTAATAATATAAGTGTATTCAGTGTTAACACCTCTAGAATAAAACATTAATAATGTTGTACTTCCTGTCATTGCGAAATGTGATACACGTGATTGTGGAATTCGTAGAATCAGAGTATCATAAAATAATGGAGTCCAAGCCCCTGCTCAATGCTGTCATCCAAGTCAAAGGAGATCTGACACAAGGTTGGCCAATGTGCTCTTGAGTGCCTCCAACATGGGTGCACTCACCGCCTGCCAAGGTAACTGGGTCCAATGGCATACAGCTCTAACTGTTAAGAAGTTTTTCTCTATATTCAGCCTAAATCCGGCTTCCTGTAATTTAGGCCTTTTATCATGTGTCTTGCAGTCTGGGATGAGTGAGAACAGATCCTGCCTGTCCTCAGTCCAGCTGCCTTTCAAGTATTTATTTATTTATTTATTTATTTATTTATTGGACTTATATACCGCCCCATAGCGCTACAAGCACTCTCCGGGCGGTTTACAATTTTTAATTATACAGGCTACACATTGCCCCCCCAGCAAGCTGGGTACTCATTTTACCGACCTCGGAAGGATGGAAGGCTGAGTCAACCTTGAGCCGGCTACCTGGGATTTGAACCCCAGGTCGTGAGCACAGTTTTAGCTGCAGTACAGCGTTTTAACCACTGCGCCACGAGGCTTATTTGAGAAGTGCTATCATATCTGTCCTCAGTCCCATTTTCTCAAAGTGAAACATTTTAAAGCTCTTTCAGCATTTTCTCACAGGGCTTGGTTTCCAGTCCCCTGATAATCCTCAGGTGAGTAGAAACCATCATCCTGGACATGACTACAACAGAACTCTTCCAAATGTTAAAAAAGAGAAAACACCTTGTGGCCTGGTGGGAGACGAGTGAGCAGAGTGAAAATCTGAATTAGCCCCAGGATAGACCTGCAAGGGGGAAAAAGTGAGGCGGGAGAGAAAAGAAAGAGAATAGAGAAAGGGTAACTGTTGGGAATCCGGGAGGAGGAAAAAAGAATCAGGACAGCGGAGTGGACAGGAAGACTGGGTCACTGGATGGGTCCATGGGAGGACAAGCCAAGAACAGGTATGCCTTGGCAGATGAGAAGGAAGAAGCAGTGGGAAGCGCAAGAGATTTGAGGGCTCCTAAAGCATGCAAGGAGGAGCACACAGAGCCCTCTCTGTGGGCACACGAGCCATAAGTCGCTATAGAGAAATACTTACCCATCTTCCGATCCCAGATTTCAGCACTCCCCTCTGCTGATGCAATGGTCCAGCGGAGGTGTGCAATGGTGACCATCACCAGTCTAGCCCAATGGGGGATTGGAGGACCAGTAAGTATTTATTTGTTAATACTGCCCATAGCAAACAAACAAACAAACAAACAAGCTTTTAACCCTTGCAGTGCAGGAGCAGCTGTTTTTTCCTAAACTAAAACCTCACCATTTGGGTTTTAATTGCAGTATTGGCACTTTGAAATAAATAAGTTGATTTTGTGTTGCAGTTTGGGCACTCGTGCTCAAAAAGGTTCACCATCACTGCCCTAGAAGTACTGCCTTTGTGGCTTCACATCTATATTATATTTATTTGACATCTGACATTAACTTTCCTTTTAGTGCAAGTGAAAAGTCACAACTATCTGGGCAAACAGGTAGAACCTCTTTTGAAAAAAAGGGATACGTCTCTTCACATTTATTAATGGCAACAGAAAAGCTACTTGTTCAGACCACTGGGCCAGTGATTACTGTAGGATTTGTGACTACACTCTTGCTCTGTTCTTGTACAAGAACTGATTGCAGGCAACAGGTTTTTGCCTCTGAATGTTGGCCTTTTCTAATTGCTGTATTATAGATCTTAGGCTTTTGTTCTGTGTTTGTTCTTCAGAGTCATCCCAAGGTCCCTAAGTACATGAGCCCAGATATAAATTGTTCAAAGTAAAAATGTTGTCTAAAGCATAGTAAAATACTACATTTCATTTCTTGCCTTCAAATGTGTATTATGTAAAGTATGTCCTGCAGATTATAATATTGCTAACAGCCAGGTTTTGACCTCCGTATAAATAAGTAATACAGTTAGGATCTTTTTCAGAATATTCCCCACAATGTCTGAGAAACCCAAACTTCACTACTTTAATGGAAGAGGACGAATGGAATCGATTCGTTGGCTATTAGCAGCAGCTGGTGTGGAGGTCTGTGGCCTTATTTGTTTTCTGTACATAATTTTTAGACTGATTATGTGGAGTTACAATAAGACTTTCCTAAGAAGAAGATATTTTTCACAAAGTTACATGTCTGTGTTTATCCTAGGATGGAATCAGACTTGTATAGATAGGACGTAATTAGGGCTGGAAGGACATTTGTATTGCAGAAAGGTCACTGCAGCAGTTTTGTTGGGTTTGTGAAATCAGATGTCAAAGGGATTCTCCACTCAGAGCTCTAACTAGTAATTTAGAGTACTGTATTTGGCACCCGATCCCAGCCACTCCTACTTGATGCACAGTGCAAGCCCCCTTGGAAAAGGAGAGGAATGTGGTGGACCTCCCCCCCAAAAAAGATAAATGAATAGGGCAAAGAGTATTCCTCTTTATTTTCCTAACATTCATTAGTAGGCTCTCCTTTTAGATTTCAGTACCCTATAAATGTTGGTTCCCAGAAGCAAAGCTCCTCTTATTCTTTGCTAGCAACTGCCTTGTCTGTGCCTAAATCTTGATGACCAGTTACCAATCAAAACAAGCTAATCAGCATAATCCCAGACATGGCAGAAGCCTGTGTTGTGAGACTCAGACCAGGCACTCATCACATTTAATGACTTCCCTCTTCCAGCCCTGGGCGATCTCTAACATCCATTTCTGGCCCTAATGGATGGTTGCTCAGTACCAGAAGTTGCAAATTAGTTTGTCTTTGTTTGGCGAGTGGTCAACAGGATAGTGCAAACAAAGCAGCTTGGAAGGGTGGTATCTTTGACATTCTAATTACAAAGCCAGCATCCAGACTGGTTTGGCCCAGAAACTATCTTGAAAAAAAATGCCATTGTCACCACTGAAGAATATTTAGGTCCATCTTATTGGGGACTGGAGACTTTTGATGGGGAGAATGAAAAGGAAAGGGCAGTTTCATTGCTTCTTCCTTTACATCATTACCAACAAGACCTTTTTACCCACATGCTCATCTTTCTTGGTCATGCAGTCCAGTGACCCATACTTACATACCAAGAAAAAGGCAACAAGGTAGCCAGCCACACTGCAGAAGGATGCCGTAATGCCAGAAGCCACATTTCTGTCCTTAGTATTCAGCTTCAAAAGGCAGGTGCCGGCCATAGGGCCTATCTAGATGCAATGCTGTCTAAGCTGGAAGTCCTTCTTCATAACCTCAGGTATGACTTTATGACTATGATTCTCGTACAAGGCTGGAGTCTCCTACACTCTTAGACCAGCTTTAGCCATTCAGTTCCTGACAGGAAAAGGCAGTGGAGATAATAAGCAAAAGCTCTCCTGGCACTCTTTAAAATAAGGTTCACCATATTTTAATTAGCCAGCATTCTGTAGCAAATAATACAAAGGCTGTCTGAAACTTCTGTGCAATAGCAAATACAACAATGGTGTACAATAACTAAATACTCTTGGAAACTTTCATTTAATGTGCATCTTCTAGAATACATGGCCCTGATCATGTGGCTGCAGTATTCTCATATAAGCATGCCACGGCTGTTTGGGGCTAGTGCTATAAAGGAACGGCTTCATGTACCCAAGAAGGGAGTGTAAGCTCAGTGACAACTGGTCCCTTAGAGCAGGTGGGGCACTGACCTCTCTCTCTCGCTACCCCAATGAGTGCACTCTTGCCTGCATCCTCATCTCAGAAAGAGTGTTGAGGGCCCTCCTGTACTCCCCATCTGCTGATCTTCCAGAGTCTGTGCATGACAGAGAAGTCATGGGAGGAGAAAGAGAATGAATGAATGAATGAATGAATGAATGAATGAATGAATGAATGAATGAAGGAAGGAAGGAAGGAA